GTCGCCTCTGCGTGTTGACCTCAATGTACTATTTATCTATCTTTCTACATATATATATATATATATATCTGTGTGTGTGTGTGTGATATTTTACTTTAAATATTGATGTTTACGGTGGGTAAACGATAGCGGCTTGGATTGAGGAACTGGAGAACCGAGTTCCAATTCCATTCGAATCCATTACATTCACTTACGTGCTAATACCCTTAGGAAAGTATGAATCCTCTTCTTCTCTCTCCAGCTATGGGTAAATAGTAGAACAGCCCGTGTTCTATAGCCCTGGGTGGCAATTGGTCTACCGTAGAAAGAAGTGTCAACATACCGCGGGGGAAAAAATCTGCCTCTTCTTTCACGTATCGAAAGATACATGATCGCTTAAGCGTGTATCCCGTATGGAACCTAAATGACTGAATACAACTCTATATGTGCACGAAGCACATCAAGACGGTAGGATTACCTGCTATGTTCGCTTCATCAATAGTGGCAATGGCATCAGTGATCTTTTGCTTTAGATCAATGATAACTCGTACCTTTGTTCGATACACGATATCTTTAAAATAACGCCATAAATAGAAGTTCTGTACTTTCGCTTAGTCTGCGTATCCGATTTTGTTTCAATAAACCATGGCGCCTTCACCTTATCTCAGATATATATCTGTGCATAAAACACACACACACACACACACCATATATATATATATATATATATATATATATATATATATATATATATTGTCATCCACAGACAGACTATTTCGCTCATCACAGCTCATCAGTGACTAGACGTCCGGTTGCCTTTAGCTAGGATCGAAAGCCAACTGAATTCTACCACTAAGCCTTAAATACACGCTGCTGTGCGCCAGGGATGTATTTAAGCGTATATATATATATATATATATATATATATATATATATATATATATATATATATATATATATATATATATATATATATATATATATGTCCATATATGTCCATATATGTCCATAAAGTCTCTTTACAATTTGAAAAAATATTACAAAAGAAACTGAACAGACAAATAACGCGGAAATTTTTTTAAAATGAAGAGTAGATATTGAAGTATTTTTTAACTAATTTAATACACCTCTATATGGTCACTATTATTTGCACAAACCACATGAAAACGATACTCGATTTTTTCCATGTACGCTGAAGAATAACCCCATCAATGGTGACAATGGCATCAGTGATCTTTGGCTTTAGATCAACGATGTCCTTTATCTTTGTTCGATACACGATATCTTTAACATAACCCCATCGAAAGAAGTCCAAGGGAGTGATATCTGGTGAACGAGAAGGCCAGGGAATCGTACCATCCCTTCCCAATCTACTGGACTGGAAATATTTGATTTAGGAACCCAAGATAATCCAGTCCACAATGTGGTGTTGCACCATCTTGCTGGAAAATTATGGTTGGCTGAAGGTCATCTATTTGTGGTGCCACATTAATTGCCTTTTGAAATATATCTTTTTTTAAATTATAAATAGTCTTTATGGACTCACCTGTATATGTATATATATTCGAACAAAAATTAAAAAAAAATAATTATAATTTAATTATAAATCCTAAATTCCATAATGAATACCCAAATGCTTAAGATACCACCAAATTAACTAACAAAAATGAAATATTGGGAAAGTGAAGACCTATATAGATAGACATTTACGTTACCACTTAGGCATTATTTAAATATATATTTGAGTAGAAAATGGAATACACTTATATTTTTGAATCTTAAGAAAACACTAGAAAAATCGAGAAAAAAATTGAAATTAAAAGTAAACGCCCTTAATGATACAGGATATAACACAGCAATGTCTGACACTCAGAACCGAAGGAGAGCAATATGTAAGCAAAAAGTATAAACGACAAGAAAAATGAAAGAAACGAGAAATAACCACGGCATTCCACACACACACACACACACAAACAAACAACACACAACAACAACAACAACAACACACACACACTCTAGCGCCCCTGCATGCATACACACGCGGGCGCTCACAGGAAAAAAAATCTACCTATTTAGATTGGAACTTGACACACCTAATAAAAAAAACTCCTACCATTCCCCGGCGTAACTTTTTTCAGTGATTACGATTCTCAGTGATTGAATGTCTCTTTCGTTTTCCGACTCCCAAAATGATCTAAACTTCGTAAATCTCCACGGAACGCAATACCCTAGCATCATATGATAAGAGGAAACCTTAAGGAAAGTCAAATCGATTTTATTGAAACATACGACGTTAGAAAACGTGTTCATATATTATTGCCCGACCTTGAGGAAGCGACCCTATATTGGAGACGGACGACTCTATTAAATGCAACAACTGATGGCTGACTGCTTTACTTTCCCAGAATTCTATTCGGCAGTATTAGCGCGAACAAAGGCTTTTCGAGCGTCTTAATTGGGTTTCTCGCCTGAGATCTTTGGCTAAGGCCCAAAAAAGACAAAGACTAGCTCATCACTATCACAATTTATTGGGTGAGCGTCTGACCTATGTACGTACAGACATTTTATTGACCAATTTTTCAACCAATGATCGTGTCATTAATGCCAGACATAAAGAAAACCCTGATGGACGGGAAACCAGAAATAACGAATCACAGAAGCATTCGAAAACTTGATTTCTGAAAATTTAAAAAAAAAAAAAATGCTGAAGATATTTAGGAACTGCACAAAGAAAAAGTAATCTATTTATTTATTTTTTGTTTTTATAAAATCAGTCTTTTTCTCTGCCTGTCGAGGGATTAGTCACTTATAAATACAGCTAATCCTCATTTAACGACCTAGTTAAGTTCCAACCAACTTGTCGCTAATCGAGTTGGCCGTTAAGTGAGAAGTTGGAATTGAACACTATTTTAGGCATGTTAGGTGCGTGTTATCTTTTGCATCAATCGGTTTCAAATATCGTTAATGCCACTTTTTGCCCCCATTATAGAATTTCTAATTTATTTCTATATTTATTTACAGTGCTGTCGTAGGTGTAAGAGGAATCGCTACGACGGTTCTAAGTGTCCAGACGAACTACATTCCTAGGTTCCCCCAATTCTTACATTTACGACTAAGACACACGATACCACGCACATTGTAGCGGGCCACCCTTCGTATTCCATTGCTAAGAGGGATGTTCTACTCGGGTAGTTTCTTTCCACGAATCGTTACTTTGTCGAAATGGATCCCAAGAGGATGCCTTCCCGACCACTATAAACTTAACCTGATCAAGGGTAACGGTTAAACGTTATCTCTCCTACATGTCCACATAAACATAGCCTTTTACACGGTAATCCTCTACCTTGAGTGGCTCTTGGGGCTTGTAATAAGCAAATTCGAAAACTATATTCTGTACATTACTTTGGTTTTCTGTAAATAGAGTGCGAGTCAATTTTTAAATTTATTTTTAACTTTATTCATTAATTTATTTTTTTGAATTAAAACAATATAAAACAACACATTCCAATATAAACAAACCATTCAGTAGGAAATACATTTATTCATGAATAAGTGCAGAAAAGTCCATTTAAATTGGATAATTCTCCGCGTTTAGGTAATTTTTTAAAGGAAATCCATGTATTTTGGCGTTAAAACCAACTGATTGGATTTTTATTTTATTTTATTTGTTTCATTCTTAATTTTATAACCTGGTCGTTAAACTGGTAGGTCATTAATTGAGAAGTGGTTTTATTTATCCTCGCATTGACATAAGATGTAAATCTAATTAGATAATGGACTTTTCGAAGTTATTAGATTTTTATGCTTAAAATCACTCCATAGATTAGCACGTTCCAATTGCGTGTCTCAAGCCTTAAACAATAATCAGCCATGCAATTGACTTTGAAAAATAAATATTTCTTTGATTTACAATAAATTATTGACTAAGGAGCAGATGTCACGACAACAAGTGGAAAGAGGAGGGGAAATAAGAGAAAAAAATAAACAAGATAAAGAGAAACAAAAAGGAAAAATGTAATCGAAAAACAAGAGAGAAAGGGAAAAGAAAAAAGAAAATAAGAAGAAAAAGGAAAAAAAAGATGAGAAGAATAGAAAAAAAGACAAACAAAAAATATACAGAAAAAGAAAAAGTAGAAAAAAAACTACGAGAAAATAGAAAAAAGGTAAGAGACAATACAAAAAGAGAAAAAAAAAGAGAAAAAAATCAAGCAAAAAGAGAAAAAAATCAAGAAAAAAAAAGAAAAATCAAGAAAAAAAGAAAAAAATCAAAAAAAGAAAAAAAAATCAAGAAAAAAGAAAAACTCAAGAAAAAAAAAGAAAAAAATCAAGAAAAAAAGAAAAAATCAAGAAAAAAAGAGAAAAAAAATCAAGAAAAAAATCAAGAAAAAAAGAGAAAAAAAATCAAGAAAAAAAGAGAAAAAATCAAGAAAAAAAGAAAAAAAATCAAGAAAAAAAGAGAAAAAAATCAAGAAAAAATCAAGAAAAAAAGAGAAAAAAATCAAGAAAAAAAGAGAAAAAAATCAAGAAAAAAAGAGAAAAAATCAAGAAAAAAAGAGAAAATAGAAAAAGTTAATGAAAAGGAAAAGAAATAAGAGAAAATAAAAAAGAGAAAAAGATAAAGAAAGGAAAATAGAAAAAAGAAAAGAAGATAAAAAAAATAAGAGAAAACAGAAAAAAGAGTAAGAAAAAACAAAGATTAAAAAGAAACTATAATAAAAAATACGAATAAAAAGAAAAATAAGAGTAAATAAAATAAAAGGCGAAAGGAGAAAACTATGTTCGGAAAGATAGAATACAGGAAGAGAAATGCAAATATTTTTCAATCTATTAAAAAGTAGGTATAAAAGTATGTAAATATAAAGTATATGTATGTTTATGCATAAAAGTTATTCTGGATATATATATATCGAAATGAAAAGTTCCCAGTCGAACAAGAAAGGATTTTTAAAATTTTGAAAGGATTTCTGGCGAGAAATTTTCAGCAAAAAGCTCTTCAGCTTTTCGTACATATATCTCTACAGCTACAGCTATAAATCTACTTTTGTTAATATCTATCTATCTATCTATCTATCTATCTATCTATCTATCTATCTGTTTTTTTTATATCTATCTATGTATCTCAGTGTTCTTCATAACTATCTATTTATCTCGGTTTTCTCTATATCTATCTATCTATCTATCTATCTATCTATCTATCTATCTAGTAATAATAGTACATATCAATAACAAATATCAATATGCAAAACTTACTAGAATTTAACCTCTTTCAAGGTGAGTAGAATTCCTGTCAAGAAAACATATCTCTCGACCACCTTCAATATTTCACACTATGGCCAGAGTGCCTGATATGCGATCTATCTATCTATCTATCTATCTATCTATCTATCTATATCTATATATATATATATATATATATATATATATATATATATATATATATATATATATGTCTATCTACTTCAATCTCTTCATATCTATCTATCTACTGATTGGTATCTATCTATCTATCTATCTATCTATCTATCTATCTATCTATCTATCTATCTATTCTATCATATCTATCATATCTATCTATCTATCTATCTATTCATATATATATATATATATATATATATATATATATGTCTATCTACTTCAATCTCTTCATATCTATCTATCTCGATTGGTATCTATCTATCTATCTATCTATCTATCTCAGTCTGTTCATATCTATCTATCTATCTATATATATATATATATATATATATATATATATATATATATACTTCACTCGCTTCATATCTATCTATCTATGTACTTCAATCTCTTTTGTTAATAACTATCTATCTATCTATCTATCTATCTATCTATCTATCTATGTACTTCAATCTCTTTTGTTAATAACTATCTATCTATCTATCTATCTATCTATCTATCTATCTATCTATCTCTATATATATGTGTGTGTGTGTTTATTTTCAGATAGCGTACGCTTCAACGAAGCCAGTTTATTAAAAACTATGATGATGCTGAGGAAAATCAAGCAACACTCATTTTCAACGTATCTTTTCTTTTTTTCTATTTGCGATATTTCTTCCCTTCCTCCGCTGTGTATTCATTTGCTTCCTCAAATGAATCAAATATAAAGAAAATGGTAAATATTTCTAAGGAGTTAGAACTGCTCAAGTGTCTACAGAACAAATCTCGTCCGCCTTATCTCTTCCCGGCTCCGCTTCATCACATGTCTTGGCGGGAGATCGGCGTTCCCCTAACAATCAGCAGAGAGGAGCGATTCTCCTTCATGTTCTCTCGTAAGGTTTCTCATCTCTCCAACACTAAATGTAATCATCAAACAAGAGAACAGTGCGAGCAAAGATAAATAAACAGCTTCGGTTATCTCCGCACACATGCACAGACGCATGCTCGCACGGGCACTCGCATGATGAATGAAAGAAGATTTATTCCATATGTATAGGTTGCGATTAATAGAAAGGCAGATGGATCGATACACCCACATCCATATGTAGTGCCTCAATAAACATAGTATCAGCCGCAAATCTGGGGATATAGAAACAACGCAGATTTTTAGTTAATTTTTTTCCGATTTTCCTCCTTTCGAAGTGTGTGACATGAACTTTTCACGCTGAACCAAAAAGAGCTGTGAACGCTTCGTACTATAACGCACCTGCACGCACAAGTCAGACTCAAATATGCTCATTAACATGTCGTTGTGTTTTACTTCCAGGAAAAGAAACTCTTGCGTTAAACTTTGCTTTTATTATTTTTTTTTAATAAGTTTGATCTTGCACTTCAAATCAATCGGTCTCTGTACGTTTGTGCATGTACCATTTTTTACCACCATTATTTCATGTGAAATATTCTCGTAAGAAAACTTACATATTTATTTTTCAGGTAGCTAACACACTAAACATAAATAAATATTCAGTTATGTAGTGTAAACAATCGCTACATTGATATCTTTGACAATTTGATTTAAGTGATTAAAATATCTGCAAATTCATTTCCAAAACATTCCTGCTTCAAGTCGATTGTATCAAATTTATTTTATTTTCCTCTTTGTAGACATTTGTTGATCAATTTTATTTTAGCTGATATTCCTTTGAGCCCCGTAAACCATTTTGCGTCGTAGGAGCAGGATTTTTATTCCTTCATCTAGGCTGGTTGCAAAATAGTCATGATCACGAGTCTTTTATTCCTTAGGTTCGTAGCGGCAACACATATCCTGCACTCAGAGGAGAAATAGTGCCTTGGAAAAAAATAGCCTGACAGGATCCAAACCCGTCCAGGCTGGTTTGGATAGAGAATCTTCCTTCTGCTAGACTGGTTACTAAATAACCATGATAATGAATCTGTTATACCTTCGAGTTGTAGCGGCACCACATATACTTCAATCGTAACAGCAGTGGTGTGTCCTGGGCAAAATAGCCTGACGGGGTCCAAACAGCTCCAGGCTGGCTTGAATACAAGGTTTTCCTTCTCCTCGACTGGTTGGTAAATAATCACATGTCCCGTAACCCATTTGGGTTGTACGGACACCACATATATTGCAGCCATAGATGCCACAAATTGTTTTGAGCAAGATAGATTCTGTCGGGCTCCCTCCCCTCCCTCCCTCTCTCTCTCTCTCTCTCTCTCTTCAGGTTGAATTTTCAATTTAGTGCTTTTCATCTCCAGCTCAAGGCATGAGATCCTTGTCTTCCCTAACATTTAATCCACAGCTGAGGGAAAAAGAAATGTATTCATACCATTCCTAAGTGCGTATGTAACATGATGAACACGGTTCACTGATTTCATTTTCCGAGTCGTTAACCGTTATACCACCTGCCACGCTATATTTTATATCCTTTCCTCTAATTTATTTTGTTTGTCCAGTGGAGTATCTTGTTGAGGGATTCTGATTCTGGTCGAGTAAAACTAAAAAGGGATATAAGACAAGGATACATCGTCTCACCAGACCTTCTCACCGAGGCATTTCTGAGAGAATTGAAAGTGTGTTCATGATTCGTTATTTGCAACCGCAACGTTAGATAAAGATAAAGAAAAAAAGAAAGAAAAAAACAAGAAAGGATAAAATCGACAGAATTAAAAAGAAAAGAAAGATAAAAAGAAAAAGAAAGAAAAAATGAGAAAGGACAAAATCGACAGAATTAAAAAGAAGAAAAAAAAGAAAAAAGAAAAAGAATGAAAAAACAAGAAAGGATAAAATCTAGAGAATTAAAAAGAAAAGCAAGAAAGAGAGAGAAAGGTCAAAATCGACAGAATTAAAAAGAAGAAAAAGTTAAAAAGAAAAAAAGAAAGAAAAAACAAGAAAGGATAAAATCGAGAGAATTAAAAAGAAAAGAAAGATAAAAAGAAAAAGAAAGAAAAAGAGAAAGGACAAAATCGACAGAATTAAAAAGAAGAAAAAGTTAAAAAGAAAAAAGAAAGAAAAAACGAAAAAGTAGAAAATCGAGAGAATTAAAAAGAAAAGAAAGATTAAAAGAAAAAGAAAAAACAATAACGTGCAAAACTGACAGAAGTAAAAAAGAAAAGAAAGATAAAATGAAAAAGAAAGAAAAAAACGAGAAAGGAACAAACCGAGAGAAGTTAAAAGAAAGAAAAAGAAAGAAAAAACGAGAACGAAAAAATTGAACGAAGTAATAAGAAAAAATAGACAAAAGAAAAAGGAAGAAAAAACAAGAAAGGACAAATCGACAGAAATAAAAAGAAAAGAAAGATGAAAAGAAAAAGAAAGAAAAACAAGAAAGGAAAAAAGTGAAAATCGACAGAAGAAAGAAGAACAAGTTTATATAAAACGAATAAAATCGATGGAAGAATTCGGAAGAAATTCAGAAAATGAAAACGTGACTAGAAAGAAAATAGAAACGTATTGAATGACAAGACAGGAAATAGAATTATCCACGTTTGAAAAGTTTTTCTTATGCGAACGAATCGGGACAATTTACGCACAAAAACCGGAGCAGAACACAGAGAAGAAAGAATTTACAAATGATTTTTGATGAATCCTTAAAAAAATAATGTCTTTAAAAAAAGAATTAGAACTGAAACAATTTCTTACGCTTGAGTAAGAATCTAATAAAAACGAACGGGCTTTAAAAAGAAAGGGAAAAAAATGGTAACAGCTCATAATGTTTTGGGGGTTGAAAGTAGAAACGTATTCTTAAAATAAATCCTTTCTTTCAAATCCCCGAAAAAAGTTGTTGGAGTACAGGGAATAAAAATATGAAGGAATAGAGTTTTAAGATTGAAAATATGAGAACGGAAATAATTTCCTGAAACCTTGACAAAATATTAAGAATGGGCTAAAGTTTCCACAGAAAATTAAGGATTTTCAATTGAGTGGTTTTGAATTGAACCATTTGCATCCAGTTGCATCCAGTCTTTAGTAAAATCTTCGGGTTTCATCATCGATGAGGAAAATTACAAACTTCTTTATTGGGTGTGTGCAAAAGTTGTCAGCATTCTTGAAAACTGATGACTGAATGCGCAATCAAATGTTTTCTTTTATTTTATCGCGTCTTTTTCTTTGTTAGTTTTATTTCATCTTTCATTTATCTTTCTTTCTTTTTCTCTTTTTTTAATAATCTTTCTTTCTTTCTTTCTTTCCGCTTCTAGTAATCTTTCGTTCTTTCTTTCGTTCTTTCATTCTGTCTTCACCCTTCTAATAATATTTCTTTCTTTCTTTCTTTCTTTCTAATTCTTTCTTTCTTTCTTTCTTTCTTTCTTTCTTTCTTTCTTTCTAATAATATTCTTTCTTTCTTTCTCCAACACTACTAATAATCTTTCTTTCTTTCTTTCCCCTTCTAGTAATCTTTCTTTCTTTCTTTCTTTCTTTCTTTCTTTCTTTCTTTCTTTCTTTCTTCCCCTTCTAATAATCTTTCTTTCTTTCTTTCTTTTTTTTTCTTCAAATCAACTTTCTTTTTCTTTCTTTCTTTCTTTCTTTCTTTCTTTCTTTCTTTCTTTCTTTCTTTCTTTCTTTCTTCAACCCTTCTAATAATATTCTTTCTTTCTTTCTTGCTTTCTTTCTTCAACCCTTCTAATAATATTCTTTCTTTCCCCTTCTAGTAATCTTTCTTTCTTTCTTTCTTTCTTTCTTCACCCCTTCTAATAATATTTCTTTCTTTCTTTCTTTCCCCTTCGAGTAATCTTTCTTTCTTTCTTTCTTTCTTTCTTTCTTTCTTTCTTTCTTTCTTTCTTTCTTCACCCCGTCTAATCAACTTTCTTTC